GTAGTCAATGTTATTTCTGAAAAAAGTCCGGCTCACAACCTTCTGAATCCCATGCCGGCATCTAGCCGCCAAAGGCACGGCGACTCCATTACATATGTTTGGGATAAAAAAAAAATGATATCTCAAAATGTGTTTTATCTGTATATATCAGTGAACTGCCCAGTGAAGGCAGTAAAGTTACTGCTGCCGGCATCTGCACTCCAAATAGCCCCTTGAAATTAAAAGACCAGATAAAAATCCTCACACAGTTAACTACCCTGTTATAGACCAATCCTTCCTGTTCTTCTTATTCTCCCCCTTCTTCCTTCTTCTGCTTCTTCTGTTTAAAAGGGTGGTTGGCACGTTATGTTATAATTTACAGCTAGGCTGTGATATACTTTCAGCCCAACATATCCAACCTCATCAAACTTCTAAATAGCTTTTTTTATGAAATGCTTATCGGGGGCAGTGGGTCTATTCTCACCCCCTCCCCCTCCCCGCATGGGGTCCTGGGACCCACCTGGGCAAGAGACCAGTTTTATACTTTAATGAGAAAAAGAATAATACGGTGTATGATTGTCCTATTCTCTAGATCTCAACTATGATTTAATCTTTTACAGAAAATCAAAGACACCACCACCTCTTATGTAACATCACAGCTATAAGCTTTAATATTATCGTAGTATTGACTACAGTTCTTGCTTGAACAATGCTGAATGAATGTGTGATAAGTAAAAGTTTATAACAATTCACCGATTGAATGTGTCATTAGCAAAAGTTTAAAATAATTTATTGATTGAATGTGTCATAACCAAAAGTTTATAACGCTTTGCTGATTTAATGTATTTATTATAAGGAAAAGTTTACAATCCGTCGCTGATTAAATGTGTCGTAAACAAAAGTTTATAACACCTTGCAGTCTGAATGTTTGATGAACTAAAATAAACAACTGATTGAAGCAAGATTCATGATGAATACAAGTTCACAACCCCTTGTTGACCGTATGTGTCATAAATAAAGTTTACAACCCCTCGCTGATTAAATGTAAAAGTTTAAAGCCGCAGTGCCGGAAAGTTTACAATCCTTTGCGCGGAGGAAACATGATGAACAGAAGCTTATAAGCCAATGACAAGAGGAGATGATAAACATAATTTTGTAATCTAATGATAAGAGGAAACATGATAAACATGACTTTACAAAGTACTGTAGAGAAGATACATGATAAACATGACTTTACAAATATTGACAAGAAGATACATGATAAATATGACTTTACAAGCTACTAACAACAAAAAAAATACATAATAAACATGACTTTACAACGAACTGACAAGAAGATACACGATAAACATGAAGTAACAAGATATTGACAAGAAGATACATGATAAACATGACTGTACAAGTTTTTGACAAAACGATACACGATAAACATGACTTTGCAAGATTCTGACTAGAAGATACACGATAAACATGACTTTACAACCTATTGACAAGAAGATACACGATAAACATGACTTTACAACCTATTGACAAGAAGATACATGATAAACATGACTTTACAACCTATTGACAAGAAGATACATGATAAACATGACTTACAAGCTATTGACAGAAAGATACATGATAAACATGACTTTACAACCTATTGACAAGAATATACATGATAAAGATAACTTTACAAGCTATTGACAAGAAGACGCATGATAAAAATGACTTTACAAGCTATTGACAAGAAAATTTATGATAAACATGACTTAACAACGAATTGACAAAAAGATACATGATAAACATGACTTTACAAAGTACTGGCAAGAAGATAAATGATAAACATGACTTTTCAAAGTACAGACAAGAAGATACATGATAAATACAAAGGTATAAACACAACTTACGTCTGCAGCCGCTGCTGGTCAAATTAAAGTATCCCGGAGCACACCTGTCACAGGTGCGACCGGACACACCTGGTTGGCAGGGACACTGTCCACCGAGACTCTGACATAACAGTCCCTGCATGACCACTGTGCCATTAGGGTTGCAGTCACAAGCTACAGAATTCACATTATTCATGTTAGAATGGGAAAAAGGGAAACCCTTTTAAAAATTGTTTTCAAGGGTCAACTTTATGCTAATAGTATTGACTGCTTATTCTTACTTACAACTAATGCGTGCAAATTCATAAAAAAAAGAGGAGATGAGAAGCCGTAGAACAGCTGCCGGAGTAACACGAAGGGATTAAAGTAAAAATAAAGACACGAGAAGACAATGAATGACACTAGTCATAAATTTCATTGAAAAGCAATAGATAACATTGGCCATCTGACAAGAATTCTCTGATGTAAAAGGCCACAATTACAAAAAAGAATACCCAAACATTACTTAATTGATGTGTGTTTGAGAAAAATCCCCATGTCTATCTGCCTAGTTGAAACTCCAACACATGTGTGAATACAGGAAATGAATACTAGCCAGAAAAAAAGCGGTGGTGGGCATGGGCCAAATATTAGATAAAGCTGTATTGGATGTTAAGTCCAGCATTCACATCCACACACTAGCAAATAATACTTAAGTTTAAACAATTAATGTATTATAAGTGAGAAAATCTTAGCAGCATTTCAGTACAGATGACAGAGCATTTCCTCGTATGGCTTACAACAGTGATTCCCATACTGTATGACGTGGCGCCCTGTGGAGTCGCGACCTCTTCACAGGGCGCCGCGAAATTTCGTAAAAGCTTCATACCTAATTTAACCAAAACACGAATAGTCAAACTTTTACTTAGGTTAGGGCGCCATTGAAAATTGTTAATTGAAAAAAAAGCCCCCGCGACCAAGAAAGGCTTGGGAAACACTGGCTCACACAATACTGGGAGCTGTGGCAATGCAGTTGCAAGAAAGATAGTTGTTTGTTGGCCAAAATTTTTTGGTTTTAAAATTACACAGAGTCAGTTTTTATACAGTGATTTTTGTCCACAGCTGGACTGAGAACAGGATCTGTTCCATGGTGACTTTGTTGTTTGAGCAATTGGTCCAGACTACAAACATTACCATACCTACCCTTTAGCAAGATTTCGTGTCAGCTACCAGTCATTCTGTGGCCGTTCCCATGGGCTGTCCTATGTTCTAGGGGTGTCATGTAGTGTTATTTTCAACGCTGTAAGCATTCTGTGTTCCATGTTGTACGCTGGCTTGTCACCACTATCACTGCATGCAAGTATGCATGTGTGTGTGTGTGTGATAGTGTGTTAGTGTGTGTATGTATGTAGATATATGAAAGTATATTTAGGTTTGTAAGTATGTGTGTATATTTATGTATGTGTGTTGTAAGTATGTGTGATAGTATATGAGTGTATGTGTGATTGTGAGTATATAATGTATGCAAGTATGTATGTATGCAGGTATGCATGTGTGTATAAAATATGCATGTGTGTGTATGTATGTAATGTGTGTGGGCATGTAAGTATGCATCTATGTGTGTATGTATGCATGTTGATGGATGTATGTATGCATATTTAGCTGTGTAAGTATATGGGTGTATGTGTGTGTCTTTAGGTATGTATGTATGTGTGTAAAGATGTGAGTGTATGTGTAAATGTGTGTATGATTACATGTGTGTGTATGTATGTATGCATGCATGCATGTATGTTGGTGTATGTATTCATGTGAGTGTAAATGTGTGGTTGTGGGCATATGTTGGTGTCTGTACATGTGATTGTATATGTGAGTATGCACAGATGCATGTATAGGTGTGTATGTATGGAATGTGTGTGTGCATGTATATCCATAAATGTATGTGTGTGTGTTTTCTGTTTGTGCATTTATGTCTATGTATGTGTATGTGTTTTATGTTTTTGTATGTATGTAGATGCGTGTGTGTATGTATTACGTATGTATGTATATGAGTGTGCATGTATGAGTATGTATAAGTGTGTGTGGGTGTGTACGATTGTGTACACATAATATGTGTATGCATTATTCTAAAATTTATGTCTCTTTATTACATCCATAACATGCAATATTGATAACAGGCATTGGTATTTAGAAAAATGAGTTCTTAGAAGGGCCGAATGTCAGACGGGCCTGCGTGCCCAATTTGTAACCCTTTAAAAAAAAATTTTGTTCGTTCGTTCGTTCGTTTATCAATGGGGTGACTTGAACTTCAAAATAAATTTCCTTTAACTGTCAGCATTAGCGAGTGACAAGCAGAGTAGCGTTGCTTTTCTGCAGCAACACAGCATCTTGCATTCAGCCAGATGCAGAAACATGAAAACTAGTTGAACACTGGCTCAGGCACACACATAGAGAAAACGAGTCGCTCAATGTCGCCTGCCACTAAAGGAAGCGGCGCACTTGTGTGCTGGGACTTCAAACCAACAGGAGCCGGTTTTCCCTACGGTGTGTATGGAGGGTAAAGGGGAAAGAATGCATTTGCTAACACCCCTAGAACATATGACAGCCACTGGGAATGGCTACGACATGAATGGGAGCCTACAGGAAATCTCCCACCCAGCGCGTGTGTGTGCGTGCGTGTGTGTGTGTGTGTAACGTTGACAAAGATAAATGACACCTGGTTAGTGAGATGTTCAATAAAGTGAGATACAATAAAATGGTATAGAATAGATGTTGATGATAAATATACCCAGTAATACGATGTACGGTTAAGTGAGATAATGTCAGATAGTTAATAATATTAAGTAAGATACGAAAAAGGAAGACACCCATGTTGTAGCGGCTAGATGCCTGCGGATTTAAAGGCATGGGTTCCAATATACATGGGTAGTTATTTTGATTTTCAAATCAAGACTTTGGCTTCAAGGGTGATCCAGCCTTCAGTGAGTACCAGGTAAAGTCCCTGGAAGTAAAGGCGACCGACAGGATGTTAACTACATCACTCATTGAGGGCCGATAAAAGCCTAACCTCGTATGCCCAATGTGCCACTGGCATGTGAAGAAACCTTTACTCGATTCATCCAAGCAAAGACAAAAAGAATTACAACGGTGTTGACAACAACAAAGCAGTCTTACCCCTGGCACCACCATAAGGTTCTGCTTGCAAAGAAAAGAAAAGATCTTTGCATGGTGATTGTTCTAGAGCTTTCTGACGGCTAGACAGTGCTGCCACCTGCTGTAAACATGACAGATAACTCTGCTGCATCTCTGTTTGGTTTTCTGAAATACAAGACAAAAATTGATTGTCTCATCTTTCAGACTTTACTGAACTTTTCATTTGTGCCAACATTGACAAAGGCCAGAAAACCAACAAGTGATTTATCGGCTCTTGCCATTGTTCACAGACTCATTGTAAAATGTAATGTCTATTCAACATCAAAATAAAAAGAAAATGTTCACAGAGAAGTAAACTGGGGAACCACTGAGGCCAAGGAGTGGTGTGATAAACAAATTAACATGCACTGTTGATACTTCTATGTCTGGACCCAAACCTGTCATCAGAATACCACTTGATCAGCTTTTTTCACTCATGAGAATCAAATGCGGATGATTTTTTTCCGATCTTCATTGCCAGGGAAATTATTATCAAAGTTTTTAACGAACTTCTTGAAATACTGGCTTATTATGTTGACTATCACTTGTGCTTATTTGAGTCTCATCCTTGAGGTATTCATCACACAGACTGCAATACCGAGAAAAGGAAAACTACCTACCCTATTTCGTTACATAATTAGGCAGAATGTTTTGGCAGCTCACCTTGACCATCCCATTGACCACAGGTGGGCTGCCGCCCATGATTTGAAGAACACTGCTCTACAGGACATTGCAGAACCAGCTGCGGCATTTTAAAAACTATTTGATTTAATTTACTAGACAATTTTTACGTTCGGTAGTTTGTCATTGCTTCTGAATAGCAACAATCTATACAAGTCACACAAAGCGGTCTGCTCACAAATTGCTTGCCGCTAGAATAAAACTATTTACAAGTATTTCAGAAAAGCAATGTGTGTTCGCAATGCGTAAGTCACAAAAGTTGCAGTAATCCAAGAAAAGACTTGCTGTTTAAATAAGAAGTGAGTAACTCTAGCTGTTAAGACAGCGTCACTTACCGGATTTGGCGTATCTTTGGAATGCAACAGATCCGTCAGGGCTGGACAGTCCAGGCAGTAAAACCACGGAATCAATGATAATAGAGGAACCTGAAAATACAGGTCATTCGTGCAAATATCAGTGACTCCTGAAGATCATAAGTGCTTTCTCATTTATTTGCATAATTTTCTTTACATGTGTCTGTGTATGTATGTATATGTAAGAGTATGTGTGTATGTGTACATTTAGTGTTTATGATTGTTTATTTATGACTGTGTGCGTATCCACGAACGTGTATATGTATGTGTGCATATGCATAAATGGGTATTATGTATGAATGTATACACATGGTTATGTATGGAGTACGTATGGGTGTAAATGTGTGTGTGTGTGTGTGTGTGTATGTGTGTGTGTGTGTGAGTGAGTATATAAATCTCAAAAGAATATGTTTCAGAGTGTCTCAGGGGTATTTATCTCAATGGTATCTGTCTCAGAGGTATATATCTCAGGAGTATTTATCTCGGGAGTATATATCTCAGGAGTATATATCTCAGGAGTATTTATCTCAGGGGTATTTATCTCAGGGGTATTTATCTCAGAGGTATTTATCTCAGGGGTATTTATCTCAGGGGTATTTATCTCAGGGGTATTTATCTCAGGGGTATTTATCTCAGAGGTATTTATCTCAGGGGTATTTATCTCAGGGGTATTTATCTTAGTGGTATTTATCTCAGGGGTATTTATCTCAGAGGTATTTATCTCAGGGGTATTTATCCAAGGGGTATTTATCTCAGGGGTATTTATCTCAGGGGTATTTATCTCAGGGGTATTTATCTCAGGGGTATTTATCTCAGGGGTATTTATCTCAGGGGTATCTATCTCAGAGGTATTTATCTCAGGGGTATTTATCTCAGGGGTATCTATCTCAGGGATATTTATCTCAGGGGTATCTATCTCAGGGGTATTTATTTCATTGGTATTTATCTCAGGGGTATTTATCTGAGGTATATATCTCAGGGGTATTTATCTCAGGGGTATTTATCTCAGGGGTATTTATCTCAGGGGTATTTATCTCAGGGGTATTTATCTCAGGGGTATTTATCCCAGGGGTATTTATCCCAGGGGTATTTATCTCAGAGGAATTTATCCAAGGGGTATTTCTCTCACGGGTATCTATCTCATGGGTATTTATATCATTGGTATTTATCTCAGGGGTATTTATCTCAGGTGTATTTATCTCAGGGGTATCTATCTCATTGGAATTTATCTCAGGGGTATCTATCTCAGAGGTATCTTTCTCAGAGGTATGTATCTTAGAGGTATCTGTCTGAGAGGCCTCTCCATGACAAACTGGCTCAGCTGTCGTGCCAGATACTCTGAAAGTTGGTGATTTGATCCTGGGCCCCGTCCTTGAGGTTCTGATGCAGGCACTATGGAGATACCTGGGCCTAACCAGAGCAGCAAATAGAAAATGGCGATCACCAATGTTACATAAAAGGGATGTTAAAAACAAGAAGTTAAGAGTTATCTTCTCTAGATATAACCCTCACTACTTCCTGTTTCACTTTCCATTGGTTGTAGCATCACTATTGGTGGTTATATTTGTGGTACTTTCACAGCACTTATAAAAAATGTTATAATATTAAATTATTAGTTGCTGTCTTACCTGAATCTAAGACTACATCTCGTCTCTTCCTAACTGACATTCCATTGGCTGTTACATTTGTTGCAGCATCTCTATTGGCTGTTACATTTGTGGTACTATTCCCATTAGCTGTTACATTTGTTGTAGTATTTCCATTGGCTGTTACATTTGTTGTAGTATTTCCATTAGCTGTTAAATTTGTGGTACTATTCCCATTAGCTGTTACACCTGTTGAGTTTGTTACATTATTCTCATTGGCTGTCCCATTCGTTGTGGCATTTCCACTTGTATTCACAAAAATATAGTGATACAATTCTAATGTCATGCTATACTGACATCGAATGTCAAGAGTGACATTGTTAAGCCCTGACACGCTGGCTGTTGACAGACCTGCCAAAAGAAGAAGAATGTTTAGGAATCAGACAAATTTAGAAAACATGAACAAATGCTGTTATAGGATTAAAGTCATTGCCTGGTTCTAAGGTTAAAACGGAGAGAGCATTAAAAACTGCAGTGACATACGCAGTAATGGTGAATGCTCAGAATGACCTTATTTTAGCATACGAAATAACAAGGCGTTATATTTCAAAACGAGGCCACAAGGGCAACAGTTGCTTGTCGGCCTACATCTTCCAACAGTTGTATCATTCGGTAAAGATGGACAAAAATAAACTATTATCATCTTTCTCCTAAGGTTCACTTGCTGCAAACTCTGGCAAAAAGTCTTGGCTGTTTGTCCACTTCAGGAATTTGGTCGCGTTCTGGGACTTAAATGTTGTGTGCAACACACATTTTACAGATCTTGCTTATTGTGTATAAACTGTTGGTTTCTTGCCTCTCAGGCAGACGCACTCCTACTTGAAAGGAAAAAGAACTGTTATTTCTAGAAATAGTGTGTTTCTGTTGTTAGCCATACATCTTTCTAGACCAAACAACATTTAACCAATGATGTGGTCAGTGTCCTGCCAGCCGTCTTTACTACCTGGACATTTCCTTGTATCAATTTCTGGCTCGGCTACCTGGAAACCCACACCAATTTTAAAAATATGTCTCATTTAGGCTTTGAATAAATAGCCACTGAGCTGGGATGTATAAATGCTAAGAACTGCACAACCACAACTTCCTTACCGATGTTACCACAAACAATAAATCCAGTTTGTCTAGGTTAACTTAAAAAAATGAAAATAAAAGTCTAGTTTGTTGAGAAAAAAAAAAAAAAAAAATTAAACTGGTTTGTCTACATTTGTTACAAAAAATAAAATTTAGGTATCCAAATTAATTTGAACAAATAGTTCCAACTCACCCAGGTTAACACTGAACAAACGAATCCCATCTGTCAATGACAGTTTGAACAAATAGGACCAGATTTTCTAAGTTAACTTGAACAAATGAGTAGAATTTGTCTAGCATGACTTCCCATCAAAAATGACGGAAACATTTCCCAATCATATATGTAAAAGCTCTAAGAGTAAGGTGATTTGACAACAGGGACAATGTCAACAGATGGTGATTTAATTATGTAGGGAATAGTTGGACACAAGTTTGGTGAAATGATTATGTAAGAAATAACTGGTCCAGAGAATAGTAATTTAATTATGTAGGGAATAGTTGGACACAAGTTTGGTGAAATGATTATGTAAGAAATAACTGGTCCAGAGAATAGTAATTTAATTATGTAGGGAATAGTTGGACACAAGTTTGGTGAAATGATTATGTAAGAAATAACTGGTCCAGAGAATAGTAATTTAAATATGTAGGGAATAGTTGGACACAAGTTTGGTGAAATGATTATGTAAGAAATAACTGGTCCAGAGAATAGTAATTTAATTATGTAGGGAATAGTTGGACACAAGTTTGGTGAAATGATTATGTAAGAATAACTGGTCCAGAGAATAGTAATTTATTATGTAGGGAATAGTTGGACACAAGTTTGGTGAAATGATTATGTAAGAAATAACTGGTCCAGAGAATAGTAATTTTAATTATGTAGGGAATAGTTGGACACAAGTTTGGTGAAATGATTATGTAAGAAATAACTGGTCCAGAGAATAGTAATTTAATTATGTAGGGAATAGTTGGACACAAGTTTGTGAAATGATTATGTAAGAAATAACTGGTCCAGAGAATAGTAATTAAATTATGTAGGGAATAGTTGGACACAAGTTTGGTGAAATGATTATGTAAGAAATAACTGGTCCAGAGAATAGTAATTTAATTATGTAGGGAATAGTTGGACACAAGTTTGGTGAAATGATTATGTAAGAAATAACTGGTCCAGAGAATAGTAATTTAATTATGTAGGGAATAGTTGGACACAAGTTTGGTGAAATGATTATGTAAGAAATAACTGGTCCAGAGAATAGTAATTTAATTATGTAGGGAATAGTTGGACACAAGTTTGGTGAAATGATTATGTAAGAAATAACTGGTCCAGAGAATAGTAATTTAATTATGTAGGGAATAGTTGGACACACGTTTAGTGATCTGATTATTTGAAGAATAGCTCGTCGAGGGAATAGTAATTTTATTATGTAGGGAATAGTTGGACACAGGTTTGGTATTACGATTTTTTAAGGAATTTCTCGTCCAGGGAATAGTAATTTTATTATGTAGGGAATAGTTGGACACAGGTTTAGTAATATGATTATTTAAGGAATAGTTCGTCCAGGGAATAGTGATTTGTTTATGTAGGGAATAGCTGTAATCAGAGTTATGATTTCATTGTGCAGTAGATTACATGTCCAGAGTGTGGTGATTTGATTATGTGGAGAGCACATAGAAATAGACTGATGATTTATGTAGGGAACATCTGGTCATAGAATGGTGATTTGATCAGGGTAGACTAGGGTAGACCGAGCTTTGCCAGCTTTTGAGAGCAATTTTCACAACCCCCCCCCCCCCCCCCCCACAAAATACACACACACACACAACAACAACAACACAGCAAATTTCAACTCTAAATGCAGACCAAGGTTGGAGTTATCTCACCTGGAGGGAAGGCCAAAGGTACATGATAGCTTGAACCAATAGCAACGGCACAGGCTGGGCTGATATGAGGACCAAGTCTTTCTGCCAGTTGGGATGCTTCTGTCTGCGTGTTGCCTGTAACTTGTAGGTGGAGAGTACCTGCGATGTCTGACTTATTTGTAGAATAACGAACTGCTGGAATGTATGGCCTAGTTGTTCAAAGGGAGAATAATGTTACATTTAGTTACAACATAGTCAGCATTTCAAGGAGTCGCCGTGGCGGAGCGGCTAGACGCTCTGAAAGTCGCGGGTTCGCTCCCTGGCGGAGCCGATCTTTTTTGAAAATGACCTTGGCTTCCATGTTGACCCAGCCTTGAATGGGTACCGGGAAGTAAAGGCAGCCGGCGTGATGCTGACCACATCACCCATCTTGTGCCAATTAGTCTATCAAATATAGGTCTAGCCCTATATGCCCTATACGCCTAGAAAGGCATGGAAAAAGGTTTCTTTGCTATTTACTATAATCATCATTTTCGTCCTTGGACTGTAGATAAAATAGTTTAAAAACAACTGACCCAAATTTACCATGTTCCATTTAGAATGGCTTCAGTATATTACTTTCTCTAAGTTGAGATTAACTCTTTCTGCCTCAGTCAGTTTACATTTAACTCTTTGAGTCCCAGGGGATTTAGCATCACAGGCCCAAGGGGTAGTCAAGAGAGACGTAAAATCGGCGCATCATGCGTTCATTGGGCCTCTAGGTAGGAATCTATGAACGTATGACGCGTTCCTTCAGACTCAAAAAGTTAAATGTGTTCTGTCCTAAGGAGTTAAACCTAAAGGTTTTTAATGTTTAGGTCTGTGATGATAAACACGAAACACTAACGATTCAGATAATAAGGGTTAATGTAACAAATAACAGTGACAGACAGAAGCAAGAGCAGTGTATTATTTTCAGAGTTTCCCATGTGGTTTCAGGGACACCAGTTTGAGCAGAAAGAGTGGGCCCATTGCCTCTCAACAAGCACATCGTAAAAGAAGATTCATTAGGGACTTGCAGTAAATTGGATGTGTTGAGTCGAAAGTTGCAGATGTTACAGCCTAGCTGTAAACCACAACGAAATGCGCCAACTGCCCTTTTATGGACACCAGCCAAAAAAGAAAAAGATGTTTAGTGTCCCCAAAAGAAACATATAGTTAATTGTTCAGTACTCAAAGAGTTAAGCAAAGTATTCAGTTCATATTTCATAGGTTTTTCTGAAAACCACTGTTGGTAATCTGTGCATTTATGTACAGTGGAATTTTAAATAAATAATTGATGACCAACTGTTATCTAAAAATTACCTCCTTAAAGTGAACTCGCATTGAAGATTGCACAGGACAGGAAAGCATGGAAAGTCCTCTCTGAAGCCTCATGTGCCAGTAGGCACAGCGAGAACTGATGAATGTGAACTCGCAAGAACACAATATGTTAGTGTGTGAAAAAACACACGACATGTTAGTGTGTGTACATTGGTTCAACAGCATAATGTTGGCCTCACTGAGTGCCTACTGCTCCATAAAAATATATGTCTGATGTGCAAAGGCATAAACAGTTGAACTGAGTAGAGATGAGTCAAGAATTGACATCACAGCAATTGGGGCATTCCCATGCGTGCTCCGACCTCATCTTCAGCAGCCAGCGCAGTTCCAGTACTAATGGTACCGATCGAAATTAGGTTATGTGTCCGTCTTGCCTTTCCCCTGAGTGTATACAGCCAGCCAGACTCCCTGGTTACAGCCAGGTGCCTCATTCTCTCCAGGCCATATTAATCTTAATCAAAAATGGTTTGAGCACATGAGACAGAAGGTTATCGACAGATATAATGATTGGTGCTACAATTATGCACTTTAAGAAATGAAACTTAAACTGACCACTGTACATCCTTCTGGATCATTCCACCGGTGATTGTCTCTAGTGCCATGGAAACATTCACGGAGCTGACATTACACACTGCAAACCCTTGCCCATCGAAAGGGTTCTGAGGTGTGTAAGATCACTGGTCACCTCACATCCACCAGATTTGGGCTCAAAAGCCAACATGTCAATCGCAGGAACAAAGTTGCCTGCAAAATTAGGAAATAAGCTTCGTTACTTTTAAAACATTGTAAAATGTTACGTTATAGTACCATTAAAGTAACAATTTACATTATTCTGCAAACAACTTTAGATTAAAGATTTACTTCAGACTGTTGAAAGCCTTGAATTAGAATTTACTATGTTAGAGATTTATACTAAAGATTTATATTAGGCTGCAAGTAACATCACATTAGATAGTAACATTAGGCTGAGTTGAGTTGAGTCAACAATTTACAACACATAATTCAGGACATTACCATGCTTGCTCCATCCTCATCTTTAGCAGCCAGCGCAGAGTTCTAATACTGATGGTACCAGTCGTAATCTGGTTATATGTCCGTCTTGCCTTTCCTCTGAGTGAGTGTAGTGAGCCGGTCAGACCTTCTGGTTACACCCAGGTGCCTCATTCTCTCCAGGCCATAATAATCTTGTTTCTCTACTGATTCCATTGCTTGTTCCCAGAGGATCCTGACCAAATATGGCTTGTCGTGTATCAATTCATCACCATTAGATTGAAGACAACGTAAGATAAATTAATATTAGACTTATGAAAACCTTACATTAGGGATTTCTATTTCGTGGCAGTCAACCTTACATTTAGAGATTTACATTCAGACTACTTTTCAAATTATGCTGAACAATTTTACAATAGGACAATTTTACATTTTATCTTTAAATTATACCTCAAAGAACTTTACAATAGTTCTTTACATTATATTACAGATAACTTTACATATGATGTTTCCATTATACTACCCACAACTTTACATTTGATCTCTCTCTCTCTCTTTCTCTCTCTCTCTCTCTCTCTCTCTCTCTCTCTCTCTCTCTATATATATATATATATATATATATATATATATATATATATATATATATATTCAGAAATTCGGTTCAGACTGAAAAAAATCTACATTATAGATTTACATTAGACTGCAACAATCATTACATTAAAGATTTACATTAAAACATAGACACCTATACATTCAATATTTTCATTTTACTACAGGTAACTTAAGACTAGAGATATACATTAGGACTGCAAACAGCCTTACATTAAAAATTGTAATTAGAGCATGGTCAACTAAAAAGTAATGTTAAACCTCTCAAACTTTCTGACATGAGACCAGTTCTCATCTCCACTAAATGCCAGCTCCAAAGATATCTCAAATGTTGGGGATATTCCATGCATACATAGCATAAATCCTTTCCAATTAAGATCGAATGATGGATCTATCAGTTTGTCTCTCTGGGTTTCTACCTAAAGGTTAACCACACCATCATAAGATTTAAAAATATCAACCTCCAACAGGTTAAAATTAGTATATATTAGTATTAGAGGTTAGACCAGCCAAGTGTGTAACCTGCTGTCCGATGCAGATAAGAACTCTTAGCAAGACACACGGGTAACACACAAAAAGGGGGGGGGGGCCAACAAGAGTTAAAACTTACCTGCAATAACCTGGTTACATTTAACACCTGTGATGTTAACTTTGCAGGAGCATTGCCCGGTTGTCTTGTTACAGTTGGGATCTAAGGAGCCGCCTCTGTCGCAGTCACAAGGCAGGCAATCCTGCAGGTACAAGAGGAACGATGAAAGGGAGTTATCTTCACGAAAGAAATCAAAAACCTAAGATGGCTTAGATTTAAGTAAACGCTAGACAATAAATGAAGTGTCTTAAACGAACAAGTGGCACGTTATTAATGGCCAGAGATCCACCGTCCTAATTTCTCAACTAGGGGTATCCGTGGGTGAGTGGATAACCCATTTGCCTAACGCTATCAAGGTCCGCGTTTTTGTGTTCAACATACTGCATCGTTCGGTCAAGTTGTTTTCAATTTCCATGATGGTTGTCGTTGAAGCTACGAAGCTCGTGATCTACACCGAGACGAATGGGATAAAACTGCAATATTCTTTATCTTATTTATTGCGTTCATCTCCGGGGGGAAAGTTCTGGTTGTTTACCCACTTCTGGACTTTTGTCTCGTTCCACATCTATACCACAGACCTGACTTATTGTTGGTTCCTCGCCGTCCGGACAGATGTGGATAACTATGCAAAGAAGTTGATTTCCTGATTATTAGCTTCAGAGGTGGACGAACAACAAACTGCCGGTGGTTACAGCCGGTATCCGCGAAAAAGAAAAAGAGCAAGAAGGAGGAGAAGAAGAAGAAGAAGCAGAAGAAGAAGAAAAAGAAGAAGAGCAAGAAGGAGAAGGAGGAGAAGAAGAAGAAGAAGAAAAAGAAGAAAACCCAAACAAAGATTGTAAAAAAAAATGCAACGTACCCGATCTGGTCTGCCAGTTGGGAATGAGAAGTAACCATCGGCACAGGTGTCACACACTCTGCCTATAATGTTTGGCTTGCAGGGGCATTGGCCTCCGCTTTGCTGGCACACGTTGCTTTGTCCCACTGTCCCATCGGCGCTACAGTTACAAGCTGAAGTCATATAATACTGATGTTAAACACTTTTGTAAAAACAATTTTTTTGAGTTCTTTTACTTGATTCTTAGAGTGTAGGGCCAAACAGGCTTGTTGTTCCCTCTAGAAAACAAGGCTATATCATGTTATGTTATCACAGTCGACGTCATTGCTCCATGGGCACCACCATGCATGCTCAGTCCTCCGATGCAGCAGCCACTTCAAGGTACCTCTACTTCCTGTTCACATAAGAAGCTGGTTATATTATCTCCTGTCTTTACCTCAAAGACGGCAGTGACATGCTTTACCTAGCTTAACTCATCGGTCACGCAATCGTGGTAGCGTCAGAGATTCAACATTACCCTCCCCCTAACCTAGTCAGTACAGCGTTGGTGATATCAGCTCTGTCCATGTATCTTCCCGTTTGCATTAGCCCATTACCTGCCAGTTGGTCAGCTCTTTATTGACATTTACCCCTGAGTGCCGAGGCGTGTCGATCCAGATGATGGAGGTTAACTGTGACTTTTGAATGCTTTCTACCCGTTCAGAGCGTAGACTACCTGTAGCGATTTTCTGAAGGATGTTCATGGAGAAAACAAGCCAAGTACTGGTGTTTAGCACATAGTGTCTCCACCTACGAGTGTTTACCACAGAGTGTCTCCACCTACGAGCGTTTACCACACAGTGTCTCCAACTACGAGTGTTTACCACACAGTGTCTCCAACTACGAGTGTTTACCACAGAGTGTCTCCACCTACGAGTGTTTACCACACAGTGTCTCCACCTAGGAGTGTTTACCACAGAGTGTCTCCACCTACGAGCGTTTACCACACAGTGTCTCCAACTACGAGTGTTTACCACACAGTGTCTCCAACTACGAGTGTTTACCACAGAGTGTCTCCACCTACGAGTGTTTACCACACAGTGTCTCCAACTACGAGTGTTTACCACAGAGTGTCTCCACCTACGAGTGTTTACCCTAGAGTGTCTCCACCTACGAATGTTTACCACAGAGTGTCTCCACCTACGAGTGTTTACCACACAGTGTCTCCAACTACGAGTGTTTACCACAGAGTGTCTCCAACTACGAGTGTTTACCACAGAGTGTCTCCAATTACGAGTGTTTACCACAGAGTGTCTCCACCTACGAGTGTTTACCACAGAGTGTCTCCAACTACGAGTGTTTACCACACAGTGTCTCTTAGAGCAGCACTAGGAACAAAACATATTCATAAAATAGGTACCTTGACTGTACTTGGAATCCGCCGTGGTGTAGCGGTTGTATGCTCGTTCACGGTTTGATAGTTGTAGGTTCAAATCCCCACTGAGTCAAGGTTTTTTTAAACGGCTTTGGCTCCCGGGTCGACTTAGCCTGCGATGGATACCAGGTAAAATGCTAGGAAGTAAAGGTTGCCGGCGTGATGTTGGCTACATCACCAGTCGAGTGCCAGTTGATCACTAAAATATAGATCTAGCAGCACTGTACATGCAGTGCGTCTAATGGCGTGGAAAAGGCTTCTTTACTTACTGCTTATCGCTGCCTACCACAAGAAAACAACAACAACACCAACAACAACAACGGGCGGTACCATTTTGTTATTGCCAAAATTGTGTTTGCAGCAAGTAACAAGCCGGGTTATAGAAGCTTGACAATAATAGTAGTAGCACCCGCAACGGCAGCATACAAATAGTAGCAAAGGCAGTAGTAGGGATAGAAAAAATAAAAATCACCAGTATCAGAAATAGACACAAAAGGAGTAGAAGTAGTGTCATCAGCAACACGAACAGCAAAAGCAAAAGTAGCAACAACAACAACAATATAAACAATTTCAGCAGAACTAACAATAACAGAAGCAACAATAAAACGAATACTAATAATAATATATCAAACGAGTAATGTGCAGTAGTAGAATTAGTAGCAGCAGCAGTCAGAGTACTAGCAGCAATAGCACTCAGAGTAATAGCAGCAACAGCAGTCAGAATAATAGCAGCAACAGCAGTCAGAGTAATAGCAGCAATAGCACTCAGATTAATAGCAGCAACATCAGTCAGAGTAATAGCAACAATAGCACTCAGAGTAATAGCAGCAACAGCAGTCAGAGTAATAGCAGCAACAGCAGTCAGAGTAATAGCAACAATAGCACTCAGAGTAATAGCAGCAACAGCAGTCAGAGTAATAGCAGCAACAGCAGTCAGAGTAATAGCAGCAACAGCAGTCAGAGTAATAGCAGCAATAGCACCAGAGTAATAGCAGCAACAGCAGTCAGAAAAATAGCAGCAACATCAGTCAGAGTAATAGCAGCAACAGCAGTCAGAGTAATAGCAACAATAGCAGTCAGAGTAATAGCAACAATAGCACTCAGAGTAATAGCAGCAACAGCACTCAGAGTAATAGCAGCAACAGCAGTCAGAGTAATAGCAGCAACATCAGTCAGAGTAATAGCAGCAACAGCAGTCAGAGTAATAGCAGCAACAGCAGTCAGAGTATTAGCAGCAACAGCAGTCAGAGTAATAGCAGCAACAGCAGTCAGAGTAATAGCAGCAACAGCAGTCAGAGTAATAGCAACAATAGCACTCAGAGTAATAGCAGCAACAGCAGTCAGAGTAATAGCAGCAACAGCAGTCAGAGTAATAGCAGCAACAGCAGTCAGAGTAATAGCAGCAATAGCACCAGAGTAATAGCAGCAACAGCAGTCAGAGTAATAGCAGCAACATCAGTCAGAGTAATAGCAGCAACAGCAGTCAGAGTAATAGCAACAATAGCAGTCAGAGTAATAGCAACAATAGCACTCAGAGTAATAGCAGCAACAGCACTCAGAGTAATAGCAGCAACAGCAGTCAGAGTAATAGCAGCAACATCAGTCAGAGTAATAGCAGCAACAGCAGTCAGAGTAATAGCAGCAACAGCAGTCAGAGTAATAGCAGCAACAGCAGTCAGAGTAATAGCAGCAACAGCAGTCAGAGTAAAAGCAGCAACAGCAGTCAGAGTAATAGCAGCAACAGCAGTCAGAGTAATAGCAGCAATAGCACCAGAGTAATAGCAGCAACAGCAGTCAGAGTAATAGCAGCAACATCAGTCAGAGTAATAGCAGCAACAGCAGTCAGAGTAATAGCAACAATAGCAGTCAGAGTAATAGCAACAATAGCACTCAGAGTAATAGCAGCAACAGCACTCAGAGTAATAGCAGCAACATCAGTCAGAGTAATAGCAGCAACAGCAGTCAGAGTAATAGCAACAACAGCAGTCAGAGTAATAGCAACAATAGCACTCAGAGTAATAGCAACAACAGCACTCAGAGTAATAGCAGAAACAGCAGTCAGAGTAATAGCAGCAACATCAGTCAGAGTAATAGCAGCAACATCAGTCAGAGTAATAGCAGCAAAAGCACTCAGAGTAATAGCAACAACAGCACTCAGAGTAATAGCAGCAACATCAGTCAGAGTAATAGCAACAATAGCACTCAGAGTAATAGCAGCAACAGCACTCAGAGTGATAGCAGCAACATCAGTCAGAGTAATAGCAACAATAGCACTCAGAGTAATAGCAGCAACAGCACTCAGAGTAATAGCAACAACAGCAGTCAGAGTAATAGCAGCAACATCAGTCAGAGTAATAGCAGCAACATCAGTCAGAGTAATAGCAACAACAGCAGTCAGAGTAATAGCAACAACAGCAGCAGCAGTAGCTGCTGTTGTTATATACGTAGTAGTATTTAGCTGTTATTTAATTCTAACTGTCGAAGCATTTTGAATAAAAATAAATTTAAAAATAAAAAAACACACACGCACACACACACACACACACACATAGTTTTTTTTTGTTCTTGCAATTTTACGGCCTTATCTGAGATGGCTAGGCGACTCTAATTAATTTATCTACAAATATTCCCCCACCTTTTTATGAACACGATTTTGATAAAGTTGGTTTGGAAGAGTTGAAAAAAAAAAGGTAACTATGCTGATGAACAGTTATTCTTACCTGTACAGTTGCCAGGTGAAGGTCCGTCTTTCAGTCCATAGAATCCAGGTATGCATTGATCACACCTGCGGCCACTCACCTGGGCTCTGCACTGGCACTGGCCGATGAGCACTGGAGGATTGTCCACCTGAGCGCACGTTGCGACTGTTGTTGAACACCCCAAGCGGGTCGCAGTCACAGTCTAGAAAAAATGAATGTGTGAATCAAGAATTGACATCCCTGCACTAGGAAACATTCCCAAACGTGCTTCACCCCTTTTTTCGGCAACCAATGAAAAGTCGAAATGCTGCTGGTACCAGCTGCAACCTGATTAAAATCCGCTTGTTTCCACATTGATTTAAAAAAAAAAAATCTTCTTACACTCCGTTAAATTAATCTTTTAGTGTATGGATTTCCTATCTATTCTTTTGCACAGTTTTTTTGTTTCCACAGAGCCTTCACAACATCCACTTGATTATATTGTAGCTCACAGCCCTGAGGGTTGGCAGCAGCTAGTCTGTCAGCATGCTCGTTACTCGCACACCTTCACATCCTGGACAGAAAATCCACGAGTCTAGAATAAAATGCTGCAATACTGAACAGTTTGTAAACTTGCTGATCCTGCAGATGGTGAGGCATTGCTGCGCTCCTCCTCTCTTCCTCTCCCCAACTTCTACATTTATCTCCACAATCAATCGATCGATGGTTTGTCCACTCCTCGCTACTACCGGAAGGTTTACCACACTGAGATAAACACAATCTTTTTCTGCATTGCAAATCATGAAGGTAATCCAAGGCACCGTGTTCCACCTAAAAAGGAAGTTATAATTGGGGCCCATAACGATTGCAAGAGTCTGCAGTGCGGGTAAGGATATAATGGTTACTGTCGTTGAGTGAGTGAAGTGATTCCCCACTAAAACCGTTGGTTGATTAACACCTAGTGATGCAAAGTGCAAAGTGTCACTATTTGGATAAGAACCCCCCGAGGTACAAATCCCAGAAACCCTCTTTAACAGTGGTTATACTGGGGCCTTCGACGGTTATAAAGTATAAAGCCTAA